AATCCAACATGGATGAAGGATGACAGCCCGTGGAAAGGTTCAATATGGAGCCACTCAAATGGTTATCTTCCCATTAGATTAAAAAAAAAACAAACACACACTGAGGAAACTGTAAAGTCATCAATATATGAATAATGCTGCTACTAGGAAAATAATTCCTAGGCAAGCCGGAGTCACCCTGCAATGCACTTTGATGACAACAGGCCACCTTCACGTCCTGAGGACACCTCCTCTCTGCCCTGATTATTGCTCCAGACCTCAAATGAAAAGTCGCAGGAATGTGGTCTAAGACGCTCACACACCATGTTGGGGCCTAATGCCACATGCGTTCTGTAGACTTTCAGCAAGTCAACCACACACACCCAAGATATCTGGTGTCATGTTAGTGGCCTGTCCTCTCCTGACTCTGGCCACACATTTCTGGGACAGCTTTTCACTGATCCTGCTGTTTATTCGCTCAAAAGTACTGACTCAGCACACCTGCTCTGTGCCAGGGGCAAGGACAGCTCACTCGCAGCCCCCGTGTTGCAGCACAGCGACCGAAGACTTCCCTGGCCCTCCTCCTCCAACGTGGCACAGGCCACATCTCGCGGCCTTCTCTCCCTTCTTTGCTGAATTCCCAGGGCCCAGAACATGTGTTGAACCGAACGCATGTAGGACGATCAAAAGCATCCCGGTCCGACGGGCACCTGCTATGCGCTCGTCATTATGAACGTTATTTCATGTCTCCAAGCAGTGAGCCAACAAGGCAGGCACCCAATCCTGTTTCTCACGTGAAGAATCTGGAGCCCAGCAAGATCAGCTAAATATTAAAAAGAGCCCAGGGCTGGGAGAGGATTACACGTTCGCGGAAGGGGCCCCGTCTCTTGGGTGGGCCAAGGGAAAGAGGCTTCTTGGAGGAGGAGGAGGAAGTGAGGTTTGCCCCCCAGGGGCTCACGGCTGCCCAGGACCCCGCAGTGCGGCTCTACAGGCTGATGTGCCTTAGACAGTGCGTGACTCTCGAGCTCTGCTCTGGGTTTCGCGAGGGTGCTGAGTGTCCTCACCTGAGCTGACAGCAGAGGGGGCACCTGGCCCGCCACTCTGACGTGAGCACCCAGGAGCGAGTGCCCACTGGGACCCTCGGCCTGCCAGCCCCATGCTCCGTGTTGTGCTGGCTGCCTGCTGGGTGCTTGCGTCAGTGCAATGGCACGAAGTCGTACAGGTGTTCACCCGACATTCACAGGGGCTACGGAATGCTGGGTTCTAGGGTCCCGACTCCGCGAGCAGACTGGAGAGAGCCGTGATTAACATCAGCGGTACGTGTTTCTCAAACTTTGGAAAGTTAGTTCTTTTAAGTAATTCAAACAAGCTTCCTGAGGTCAGATTTAGCATTCACTGATCATTTACTTGACAAAGCCTCTCCTTGAGCACAAGGCACCTGCACTGTACCAGGTTCGCGTCAGAACACCTGCTCACTTATGGGACTTGGGTGACGTCACCCTGGCTTCCTTCTCCCCAGAGGAGTCTTTTTAGAGCCGAGGAGCTGGGGTGGCTGTGGTGTGAGCAGCAGTGTCCTCGCGGGGCACTCACTCTGTGCCAGGCGCTTGGCTAGATGCTTCCCATACCTCTCATTAGCCTGCATAACGCCTCGCGTCAGCTCCGGTTTGTGTCCCTGTTACGTAAAAGATGTGGAACTGTACGATGCAAGAAAACCACGGTTCTACAGCTTAAAACCACTTAGAAACAGAGTTAAATCCAACCAACCAACCAACCAACCAACCAAGCACAAGCACGGCACCATGCTGCTCACCACGTCCTCTGTGCCCGAGAGAGGTCTGTGGTCACGGCCGGACAGTCCCAGGGGCGCCTCTCATGGGACTTCACAGCTTTGCCTTTTGCCAAATGCTTTCCCTACACACTGTCTCACTGGATTCTCAGGGCAAGTCTGCGAGAAACGCAAGGCAGTGACTGGCGGCCTGCCTCAGTGTGGAAAAGAAGACACTAGAAGGTCTGGTTTGATGAGGCTTAAGGCCCATTTTTTACTTTCTATCCTCTAACAGCCACTGTGTGGATCTCAGATCAGCTCCTCACCCTTCCCAGGGCTCAGTTTTCTCAGCTGTACGATGGGCTGAGGACTGCGATCACCTTTCAGCTCCCTCTGGCTCTCAGAAATCCAGGTTCTAGGACATTAATTTCAGCTGAAAGATGAAAGACCTAACTTTGGCAAGCTGGAAGAATTTCCAGTCTTAATAGACCTAACCGTAAAGTGGGGGGCAGGTGTGGATCACGAGGGAGTGCCTTCTGCATAACTCAATTTTTGCAGCTTTGACTTAAACTTGCTGGGCTTCACAGGTCTGAAGAGGTTAGGCAGCAAAATGTGTCTGTCTAAGGCTTAAGAGTGGCGACTTTGGGGTTCTGAACTGCTGAGCCTTCCCACTCCAACTGCAGCCCTGCTCGAGCACAAGGAGACTTTGCTGGACGGCAACTGAGGTCACACTGCCTCGCGTTCTGATGAGGCAGCTGCAGATTCTGGAAAATATTCCTGCGCGGACTCAGAATAACTCTCTCTCCTCTTCCCCTCTGTACTCCTCTTATTAGCGGGGACTGGATCATGAGTGTCCACTAGGCCTCACCGGAAGCCTCCATCCACCAGAGCCCTAAATTCACGGTGTGGAAATGGCCGCTGCCACAAGCAGAGACATCGACATCACTTCCGTGGAAAATGAGCAACCAAACGACAGATTCAAGACATCCTTGTTTTCATGCAATGGTTCTACCAGTTCAACAGAATGAACTGAAAAAAAAAAAAAAATGTAAGGGCCATAAAACAGAGGAGAATTCTCTCTGCACAGAGCGTCAGCTGACCTTCAACAATGTCTTCTAAGATCTCCATTCTAAACATGGTCACTTTTCCAAATGTGGGGGCCCGTGAGCCAGGCTGGCTGCGGGGCACAGCTCCCCTGCGTAAAGTCCAGGGGAGCCCCTGCTGCCTGGCTCTCTCTGCATCCAACGTCCCACTATGAGCAGCCTGGAGGAACACTCAGGTTCTAGCAGAGAGGGATTTCTGCTCTCAGTGTTGGGAGTTCTGGGGTGGGGCCGTGAGGGAAGTGTAGCCGGTCCGGAGCTGACCATGGTGGCTACGGCCAAGTCTCCGAGCCCTTGTTTTACCAGCTGGATCACTTAACACATTTGGTCTTTGTCTTCCGGGCCTTTGGTAAAGAGCTAGATAGAATTTATTCCAGGCAGGAGACAGATGCTTGGCGTCAAGTCAGATAGTGTTATTTTGTGGGTTTCTGTGTCCCCTTGAGATGAGATTACAGGAAGGGGTGATGGGAGGTGAGGTGGTCTCTTGGCCCCCAGGACTCTGGTGTCCTCTCCTTTAGACTTTTTTCAAGATTCTCCATTACTTGGAGGTTCCCTCAACAGGTGCGGGCCCGTCCTATCTATCTAGATAGGTCAACACTACCACATGGGTAACCACAATCAGGGATATGAACACGTTCAGAGTAATTTCTTTGATTATTTTAGAATGGTCTGGAGGTTTTTCGTGGTCTTCTTTGGGTACAGAAATCTTAGGAGATTGCTACTCTGATGGGGAAATCTCATTACCCAGAGGTGGGCAGCAACATAGTACTCTCACAGTGCAGAACAGATCTGCAACTTGAGATGTCAGTGTTTCAATATGGATTCCGATGCCTTATTTATATACCTTCTAGTACAACGTATGGAATGGTAAAAGAAACACTGGCGGGTTAAACCACTGGCTCATGCACGCTGTTACTCTTACGTTATGATCACTAGTTATCTTTGATGGGTCCTGTTCATGCCAAAACCTTATTTTAACTTTTCTCCATTACTTTATGATCTATGAGGCCATTTGGGGTCTAAGAACACAGCTCCCATTTATAACACTATTTCAATGGAGAATGAGCTCTGAAAAAATGCTGTTCTGAATAAAGCTCACATTTCTCAGAAAATAGCCCCAGTGTGATTCAAAGAGGCATGGCATTGTGTACGGAGAGGCCCTTTGGAACCTGTGTTAGCATGAGCTGAGCACACAGGGAGAATCGTGCACTTGGATTTACTGGCTGAGACCAAACCCAAAGCTTTACTATAGCGCTCAATTTGTCCCCGGCTGGGGTGACCCTTTAATGTTGCCATTTCTGTGTCTCAGTGTGTCCTCGCACAGGTGGGAACGCACGGACATTCAGAGCAGAGCACTCTCTGTGGATTCAACATACAGGACATGTGCTTTGTTGCTACGGAACAGGGCAGTGGACCCTTAGCCCTCGGTGATAGCCCGGTGGAGACATCTGACAATGCTCTCTACGCAGCAACCCTCTTCTGGGTAAGATTCGTCCCAGGTAGGGTCTCGTGGAAAAACAATCCTCATCAGAAATCATAGGAGTGTGGGCTCAGGTCATATACGACCCGGGCAAGAATCACAGATATCTGAGAACGGGAGGCCCATTACCCCACATCTCTGCACCACAGTCCCCTTGTCTGCCGGATGCCAGCAACCGTAGCACCCACCTCATTTTTGTGAGCACAGAACGAGATGGGCTTCGTAACTACCAACATCTTCAGAAGAGAGACATCTTAGTGCAGAGAAAAGTAACTGTTCAGAGAAGAACTGCAATCCCACCCCACAGCAGACAGGAAAGGGCCCAGGTTTTGGTGCCAGGTGGGCCTTGGACTGAATCCCCACTCTACTACTTACCGGCTGTGTGACCTTGGGCAAGCCACTCTCCCTCTGCAAGCCTCAATTTCCTCATCTATAAAACGGGCACAAGAGCACATACCCCACAGGACTGTTGTGAGACGAGTACAGCACAACACATGAGGCATGCCCACAACACTATTTTACTGTTGGTGCTTATAGCAAATGGCAAGGTCCCTATTTCGAGCTGTCCTTGACGTCACGTTCCATACTCTGCCACACAGATGCACCCTGCGATTTTTACCTCGAGGCTGCACTAGCTTTGAGGATGGAGTCACAAAGCCCTTCTCAAAGTCCGTACCTTTCCCGGCGTTTCGCGGAGGCAGCGGGGGTGCCTCTGTGGTTGGTGACGTGGGCGAGTCTGTGCTTGCGGAGGTGAAGATCTGGTTGGTGAAGGCGCTGTAGGACAGCCGCTGCTTGTCCCTCGGGGTGCTGAACCCTGGCAGTGACAGCTTGTCCTGGGGGGAGATGCTGGAGGAGTGGCAGAAGCTCTGAGGCCTTGGCGAGCGCTCTTTCTTGATGGGGCTCGGCTGCGGAGGACAGAACAGCGCAGTGGGCAAGGACTCACCGAGCACGACACTCCAGGCTCCGCTGTGCCTGGTGCACAGGTGCACAGGTTCCTGTGCCTCTCTGTGTGCTCTGAGGTCAGCCGCCACCCAGCAACAAGAGAAGGATGCAGACCTCGCACCCGTGATTCCCTGCTCACCATCAGCAGGGTCACATCAGGGAGGCACTGGTTAGCGACCGCAAGCGTTCAGAAGCCTAAGGTCACAGTCGGACGCAACCTTTAATGAACAGATGCCTGCCTGTGCAGGTTACTTTTGCCAGCACGGCACTGCTTCCCACCTGAGTGTTGTCTCTACACCGTGTTCCTTCCCCGGCCAACCCTCTCAAGTCGAAGTCCTCCGTGCTTGCCTCCCTGTTCATTTTACATCCCCTTAGAAAGCAGCCTCCACGCCGTGGCCCGGAGTGACGCCTGATACTGACGATTCAGACCTGTGGGTCCAAGCCTGGCCTCTCCAATTCAAAACTGTCTTCAGTTGCCTATAAGGGTGTCCCCTGTGTTTGCACTCCTGGTGACAGCAGTGGCATCCAGGTAACTTCCCAAGGCAGAAGCCTCAAGGATACCCAGAGCCACCAGGACCCGTGTGGAGAGCTCAGAAGTGCCCTACGCCAGGTGCAGGCGCCCACCAGCCCCCAAGGACACAGGCCTCCTGAAGAGCCCTCAGGTCCGTGTTGCAGCTGCTCTCAGCTCCAGCCTATTTCCCACACGGCGGCCAGGGCCGGTGGGGAAGCTGGCTCCTCTGACAGGTAATCTCTGTGGATAAGGCCCAAAGGCCAAATGTGGCCCGTAATGCGCTTCCTGACCTGGGCCACCAGACCCCTCTCCCCCCAAACCTACTCCAAGGCGCCTTACACACTGGGCTTCCGACCCTTCCCCAGACTTCCAGCTCTACCAGGACCCCTTGGCCTTTGCACGTGCTGCTCTCCCTCCCTGGAAAGATGTGTTCCTCCCCACTTCTTTGCTTGGCAAGCTCCTCCCTACTCTCAGAAACCCGTCTCCAGTGCTTCTTCCTTGGTAGGGTCTTCACCGCTTGCCAAGCTGAGGCGGTTGCTACGTCCTCTGAACACATCTCAGGGATTTTCCCCAAGCTCTCATTGTAACGGTCATCCGTTACAATTTATCTCTCCTCAAAGTGAAGAATGTCTTTAGGACATCTTTGTGTGACCACTCCTTAAATGCTGCCCAGGAAAGAGGAAACGCTCAATGCAGAGCTGATGAAAACTGCACGAACGAACCTTCAGAGGCAGCTAGGATCTCTGAGAGTCAGAACCGGGTGTAGTCCCGAGATGGTATGTACAAGCTTTGAGACCTTAGGCGGCAAAATCTCCGGGTCAGTTCTCCCTTCTGTGGAATAGGGGCCATAACAATGCTGTAGTGGGCTTTTGGTAACAACGACGTGACGTAGCACAGGCAACGTGGTTCCCACGGCCTAGTTCATACTTAAGTCCTCAATACGTAACACCTTTTTATGTACTAATTAGCTGTTTTGATGGCTAATTTTATGTGTCCACTCGGCTGGGCTATGGTACCCAGGTGTCTGGTTGAACACCAGTCTAGATGCTGCAGCGAAGGGATTTTCTTTAGATGAGATTAACATTTGAATTACAGTTTGAGTAAAAGGGACTACCCTCCATAATGTGGTGGGCCTCATCCAGTAAGTTGAAGGGCTTTTGGGAAGAGATGGGGACATCTGCACTTAAGACCACACCATCGAATCCTGCTGGGATCTCCGGCCTGCCCGCCTGCCCTATACATTGTGAACTAGCCGGCTCCCACAATCATGTGAGTCAATTCCTAAAAATAAATTCCATTCTCTCTCCCTCTCCCTTCAACCACATCCTACTGGGCCTGATTTTTGAGGAGTCCTGACTGACACAGTTGTGGCACCCAGCAAGGATCGGAGAGTAAGCCAAGACGCTGGCCTCAGGTCACAAGACCAGACAGTCTCGGGAAGGGGTCTCGCCCGTGTGGTGCAGAAAACCTGGGAGCGGCAGCAGGGATCCGGGTGGCACTGTTGGCACTCACTTTGTCATCCAGGTCGTCGTCACTCTCATCCATCTCCTCCTGACGCAGGTTCCACTCATATTCCACGTGGACGTGTGGGTTGAACTTCCCAGATTTAGCCTGGGACAGCTGAAAGTAACAGCAGGTGTAACCACGGGAACGTAAAGGTTAAACATCCCGTTGTGACGTGACCACGGAGCAAATCCCACCTTATTCCTGTCTTCAAATTAATCACCAGTCGCTGCTTAAAGGGGCAAAACTCTGACTTTACAGGCCGGGCTACTGCGGGATGGCCTAAGAGGAGTTGCCAAGGATTATAGGCAGAGCCTTTCTTATTTTGATAATGGAACTTCTCTCTGAAATTAAAAGCTTTCTCAAATATTATAATGAGCCTCACGAGTGCAAATTCCTGGCTGGAAGGCAACATCAGAGTTAGTGAAGTGTGAGGCAGGCCTTTCAGGTCAGACATCCTGGTTC